GGGGGCAGGAGCGGTAGCTCCGGGTGCGAGCGCAAAGCCCCCAAGCTGTAGGCTCTACTGAGCATGCCCAGTGTGGCTGCCTAGAGCTCGCTCGGGCCGGTTCCGAGCCGCCAGCCTGCAACTGCACTTGCCGCGGCTGCTTTTGCAGCAGCGCGAGGCGAGGATAACGAGCTAAGCCTCGGCCTCTGCCCAGAAACCCAGCCGGAGGCAGGATAGGCTGTTGCGGGGCGGGGGTGGAGGACTGATGATGAAAGCTGAGATGGGTGCGTTGAGCAGTGTCACTGACTCGAGTCTCAGGTTACCTGTGCACAGGTGGAAAGGACCAGGTGACCACGCTGGTCAGTATACAGGGAAATGCAGGGACGGTCCTTGCAAGGGGAATACCCTCCCCCCGCCTCTGCCCCTGGATTTCCGCGGCGTGGACTGCATTCGCTCTTTTGCATCGCTGTCGATCACAATCGTTCGCAGAGATTTGACTGTAGCAGCCTTTGCCTAGAGATTCCTCCTTTCCCCAACCCTGTGTCCTCAGGATGTCAGTCTTAGCACAAAGAGCAACCTGCTATTGTGTTTCCAGCGTGCATCACCTCATCCGGCTCCCTTGTAGCGCCCCACCTCTCGCTTCCCCGGTAACTCGGCTTGTTTGCCCTAAAAATGAAAGCTCTCAGCCGAGCGTGCTGAACGTGAACACATCGCCGTTGAATTTCCAGAGCCCAAAGGGCACCTATCTAAATGAACTGAAAGAGGATCCCCGTGAGTAGGACGCACCCCGCAGCCCTCTCCTGCGCCCGCTCCGGTGCCCCTAGGAGACTAGAGCATCTCTCCCCCTCGGGCTCCAAGTCGGTTCGCCGCGTCGGACTCAAGCTCGGTTCTTAGAGACCACCTAGCCCCGCCCCCCCTTGGCCTCCGTGAAAACCCGGCGGGATGGATCGCCCGGGGCCAGGCTCCACGCGCCCCGGCCAGACCATGCACGTTCGGGGTTACCAGGTTGAGTGGAAAGTACGGAACGGTAGGAAGCTGCAGCCCAGCGAGTGGGCGGGGCAAGGAGACCTAGGAGGGTTCAAAAGGGGGGTGGAAGGATACACGGGCCACAGTCGGAACTACTTTCCGAAGGAGGTCACGTGTGTTCCTAGTTGGGGAACTTTCCAAATTCCCACTCCCCAGTGATAGCTCCGGAGGCGAGTACTCTTCTTCTTTTGCTCGGGGTGTTCTCGCCTGGTGCAGGCTGCAGAACCCCAGCCCTTCCCGCGCCGCGGCGGAAACAGGGACTCGGACCAGCCTCCCGAAGGAGCGCTGTCGGGGCTGGCGCTTGGGGAGCTGGTTACACAAGCACCCACATCCAAACACGTGCCCCCGCCTCCCCGCCTGCTGGCTGCCGCCGATTCTTACAGAACGCGGGGAGAGAGTCCCCAAGCTGGTCCCATTCCTCGCCTGCTACCCTAAGAGCAAGCCAAGGACGGAGACCTGAGACTCCTTGCTCTAGATCGACCTATACTGCGCCTTCCCAAACGTGGGAAAAGGATCTGGGCGCTAGGGGTCTCGGACCTCTCCCTCGCTGATGCCCTGCCCCTTAGGGTGAACCCTTTTAGTTCTGTGCTTGCGGGTATCTCCTGCTGCAGCCCAGAGCTTGCATTCTCTGATGTTGCAACAAACGTCCAGTCACTACCCCTGAGCTGGTGAGCGCGCCCCACCTACTGTAGACTCAGCCAAGTGACTTATCTGGTCTGAGAACCTCGTCAATGGCCGTCAGCCCAGAACAAACCTGTCAAGTCCGCTTACAACCCCGACTGGGCAGACCTGTCGCCGTGAGAGAGCTAATTCAGAAATGCAGAGAGTTGGATCGCGCTCCTTCTACCCCGCACCGCACCCGTCAAGGATCTACAAAGCAAATAGTCGACCCGCTTAAAGAGAATGAGCATCAACACCAGTCTGGGAATTTATTGTTTTTTCATTTCCCTTAGGAAGTAGAACTCCAGACCACAATTTGAGTGAAAAAATGTCTAACGAGACCTAGGTTGAAGCACTGAGTTGTTTTTCAAACTTTGAGAGAATGAGAATCAATCTGCATGTGTGTTCAATAATTGTAAGTGCCTAGGAAAGTCTAAAGAGGATTTATGCCGTATTTGAGAAAGAGGACTGTATATGTGCACATCATAGTTGCAGGCAACCTGTGAAGACTGGAAACCCCAAGAGACCTAGCGCAGAAAGCCACAGGCCATTACCTAACTCCGGGACTACTAATTAAACCTGGGATATTTACAGTGTTCTTAGAGATCTCTGAGGCGCCGTAAAACTTTGCACTTATATACAGCATTTAAGATAGCTCTACAGGAGTTAACAACCTGCTGAAGCTTCAGTGTTGATATTTATTGAAGGCTGGTTTTGTGCATAGTTCTGGTCAGCTTGGGAAAGGCAAGGACCACAGTGGAAAAGGAAATGGAAAGCAACCGGAAAAGAATAAAAGGCAGGCCTCCAGTTGGTTTCCAGAGATGCAGATACTGTCCACATAGCCTAGGGTGAACTACAGATTTCATTATTTTATAAATAACCAAGGATAAGGAGCTCCTGATGCCTAGGTGTTCTACTAGATTGCATGGTAAAAACCAGAGCTGTGTTTAATTATCAATTACTGCGTGGTAGAAAAAGGGGGAATGAAGATGAACCTTTAAAAGGGGAGTAGATTAGAGAGGGGTAAAATGTCTCACATTTGTTTCTCAGGTTGCTGATCTTGTCCCCGGAGTCACTGTTATTAGCACTGCCCTACTCTGCTCCTCCCCTGGAGCCTACCGTAAGTGACAAAGAACCTCTGAACTCCGCTTTCAGGGAAGAAAATGAAACAAGGGTGCATTCCTGTCCCTGGTGCGACAGGATCCTCTTGGATTCCATGGCACAGAGTTACTCTGGAGCAGAGAGGATCTGCATCACCAGCACTAAAGTGCTGGAATATGAGACCAGCCTCCAAGTACTTCCATCTGGCTGAAGAAGGAAAATGGGAAATGGGTTTTGCTGCTTCTCTAAACATCAGGTCCCTCTACTTCTCTCTAGTGGTGAATGAAAGGATCATCAATGTTGGCAGATATTTGGCCAGCCCGACAGCAACATCAGGTGGTTATTAGGAGTTGCTGAATAAAATCCTCCTTCTGTTCCTAGTGTTGTTTCTGAAAGAAATACTACTGATGCATCCTTTTCCAATTTTTTGTTTTTCTGTACCTTTCTACCCAAATGGCTGGCCCTATCTAAAGTAAACAAAGTTTCAAAAATAGTACTTTTTTAAAGTTCAATTGAAAATACCTGCTTGGCTGTACAGATATTACAATACACTGGTCTCCAAGCACTTCTTCTTTTTTTTTTTTTTTTTTTTTTTTTTTTTTTGAGACGGAGTCTTGTAGGCTGGAGTGCAGTGGCATGATCTCAGCTCACTGCAACCTCCACCTCCCGGGTTCAAGCAATTCCCCTGCCTCAGCCTCCCGAGTAGCTGAGACTACAGGCACACACCACCACGCCCGGCTAATTTTTTGTACTTTAGTAGAGGCAGGGTTTCACCATGTCGGTCAGGATGGTTTCGATCTCCTGACCTCATAATCCGCCCGTCTCAGCCTCCCAAAGTGCTGGGATTACAGGCGTGAGCCACTGTGCCTGGCCGCACTTAGTTCTTTACCTGTCTGTGGAACCAGAATACCATAGGGAGAAGTAGAAGTTTATAATAAAGGGAGAATTATATAAAGCTTCAGGGTGACTGTAGTTGATTAGTGAGCATGATAAACCAGCTTTAACTATCGTTTCTAACAGCTGATTGCAAAACTCTATTGTTACTACATTAAAATGATGTCCAAAGAAAATTTCTTTCTTATTTTCTTTGATAAGCGAAATGACCAGCAACTTGATGTGGATGATATAAATACTTGATGTGCTCTTTGTAGGTCCTCTGCTAAGATGTCTTTTGTGTAAACACTCTGATCGCTATAGTGCCTTTCTCATCTCCCATACACTGGCCTTTCAAAAAGGGATCTAACTCAGTAGCTTTAATTTTTAAACAATCTTCTCTATCTCTGTCTGTTTAACTACTGTTTTCTAAATAATACAGAACATAAAAATATAATCATTGGATTGAATTTAAATCCATTCTTCCAAGAGTCTGAGGTTTTCCCCTTATTTCATTTATCCTAATAACAAACATTATTGTTCTTTCATTACAGATAATTTTAAGACATTCTCCAAAAGGCACTACTGTGGGTCATACAAGTAACTATATTCTAAAAGAGAATTTTCCATTATTGTCTACAAGCTTCCCATGTCCCAAATCTCTCCTGAAGCTATTTCAGATGCCACGGTGTCATCTTTCACATCTTGGTAGAGAGATGTGCTGTATGAAATCATCATTCTCAGAGAAATAAGGGTTGAGTTGGTTGCTCCTGAAAACCACAGAGCAGACCAGGTACTCACTGTGTCCAAGTGGCATGCCGAAATTTTGTCTTGGACCATGGAGCAACACAAATAAAAAAGACCTAACATGACAAGACAGCTTTGACTATGTTAGTCTCCAAGCTAACACTGGCTACCAGTTATTCCCCTTAATACTAACTCTAGCCATATGGAACACATTTTTTAGTTTTCTTTTTTTTCAGACCTCCCAATAATAGAAAGAGGTAATTCCCATATACCAGCAAATATTGGGACACCTACCAGGTGCTTCACAGAATAACCCGAATTTTTTTTTTTTTTTTTTTTTTTTGAGACGGAGTCTCCCTCTGTTCCTCAGACTGGAGTGCAGTGACATGATCTTGGCTCACTGCAACCTCTGCAGAATAGCCCGAATTTGTCTAGGTAGAGGGACATTGAGAAGGAGCCAAGACCCAGCTCTGCCTGACTCCTACAATTTTCCCCTGCAAAACATCCTTCTGACCTCTGAGGCATCACAAAAAACCAGCACCTTTTTCAAAGAGAAAATGCATGGGACAAACAGCCCTGGAGCATGAAAAAAGGCAGACTTACAGCTTATCTGCTTTTTCTTTCCTTCTTTTCCCTTATCAAGACTCCACACTCCAGAATCTTTTTCTGTGCATCCTCTTGAGGGTAGGGGATCTTATTCCAATTCATTTATTTAATGATTCAATCAGTAAATATTTGGGAGCCTATTAAGTGGCAGTACTGTTCTAAGCTCTATGGACACAGCAGTGACTACTATGGCATATAGTGTTCACCGTCATGGAATTTAGTCTGCATTGAAAACTTGACTTCTATGGCTGACGTTGTTACAACCTCTTCCCAGCCCATAAAGTAAAGGTAAAGCAATGGAAAATACCCTGATATTTTATAATTATTTTGTTTTGTTTTTGAGACAGAGTCTCGCTCTGTTGCCCAGGCTGGAGTGCAGTAGCACAATCTCAGCTCACTGCAACCTCTGCCTCACGAGGTGTTCAAGCGGTTCTCCTACCTCAGCCTCTCGAGTAGCTGGGATGACAGGCATGCACCACTATGCTTGGCTAATTTTTTGTTTTTTTTTTAGTAGAGACGGGGTTTCGCCATGTTGGCCAGACTGGTCTTGAACTCCTGGTCTTAAGGGATCTGCCCTTCTCTGCCTCCCAAAGTACTGAGATTACAGGCATGAGCCACTGCACCCTGCTGGATAATTGTTTTCAATTATCTATTGCTACATAATAAATTGCCTTAAAACTTTCTGCTGTCTTCCTCTTGGGACCCAGGCACTGTGTAAAGAAGTTTGGGCTGGACCACTGAATGATGAGCAATCACAGCAAGAAAGGAGTCCCTAACCATTTTAGCTACTTTAACTGAGGTCCCAGACATGTGGGAAGCCATCTTGGACATTCCAGACCCAGCCAAACTCACAGCTGAATAAAGCACATGTCTGACCTGAACTGATACCATGGGGGCCACTTAAAACTTAGTAGCTCAAAACAACTACCACCATTTACTTCCTCACAATTCTGCAACTGGGGAAAGGCACGGCTGGACAGGTTGGCTCCCTTATGACATCAGCTAGGGTCAGACGTGCTTTATTCAGCTGTGAATTTAGCTGGGCCTGGAGTGTCCAAGATAGCTTACCACATGTCTGGGACCTCAGCTAGAGTAGCTAAAAATGGTTAGGAGCCTCCTTTCTTGGTGTGGTTGCTCATTATTCAGTGGTCCAGCCCAGGGTTCTTTACATGGTGCTTGGATCCCAAGAGGAAGACAGCAGAAACTACAGGGTCTCTTAAATCCTGGGTTCAGAAGTTCCAGAATGTCACTTCCACCTTATTCTCTTGACCAAGCAAGTCACAAGGACAGCCCAGATTCAAAAGGAAGGGAAAGATACTCTACTCTTTGATGGAAGTAGTGGCTGGGATAAGAGAAATTGTTGCCAGTCAATTTGGGGACTAGTCTATCATGATCCATCCTCCAGCTACAACAGTATACGTATGCACATATATGCACATGTGCGCATGTACACACACACACACGACATACAGAATACACTCACTCCCTTTCTCCAAAACTATTATTCTGTATAGCATCAGTGTTAAAGTTCAAGATCTAGTAATATATACTAGCCCAGATGTGGATGAGGCATTTCAGATGCAGCTTCTCTTCATCTGGAGACCTGTTAACTAAAAGACAAGTTACATACACAACATACAATACTGAAAAGGTGATAGGATAACTGCAGTAGACACGCCTGTTTGAAAGTGGGGAAAACGGAGGGCAAATGGCAGTCATTAGTCCACAGCAATTCTGAAATCCCGCCAAGCACCGTTACCAGTCCTCTGAGGATCAAGTTCCCCATTAGTACCTAGGTTGGCCTCCCTCAGAATAGTTTCCCAATGCATTGCTCTCAAGAGCTCTTAGTTCCACCCTCTGGGGTCTAGACTAGGACCTCTGAATCAATTTTCCTTTTTCATAAGAAACTGCCTTCCTTGAACAGAGGCTTCAGAAATAACACAACACATCTACAACCATCTGATCTTTGACAAACCTGACAAAAACAAGAAGTGGGGAAAGGATTCCCTATTTAATAAATGGTGCTGGGAAAACTGGCTAGCCATATGTAGAAAGCTGAAACTGGATCCTTTCCTTATACCTTATACAAAAATTAATTCAAGATGGATTAAAGACTTAAATGTTAGACATAAAAACTCTAGAAGAAAACCTAG